GGTAAATCCTTCCGTCCGCAATCATGTCGTCGGTCGTCCTTTTGTCGGCTCCTCTCTCAGCCCAGCTTCTCTCCCCTCTGTCTTTCTAGTTGCCGTCACTGCCGTCTTCCCGCGAGGTAGAACCTGCTTTCAGCAGGTTTCCCTGTTGATCCTTACACAGCTCAGCGGGGCCTTTATCCCGTCTTTTCCCTCCCCGCGTGCTGGCTGTCCCTGCACAGGGCCGGGGGAGCGCGGCTGCGGGTGTGTGTTGAGGGAGGAACTGGCCGCTGACCCTTGCCGGGGAGGGCGCGGGATTGGGAGACTTTGCAGTTGCAGGGCTGCCAGGGTGGTGCCTGAGGGCGAGAGGGCCACCACACAGGGACACGCGCACGCACGTCCCTTGTCTCTGTCTACAGTTGTACTCTCCACCCATATGTTGGGCTTGGGGACACTGAGGCTGTGGTGGGCAGAGCCAGGGTTCAAACCCAGTCCATCTCTGCAGAGGCCTCGCTGTCTGCTCCCCGCATCACCGCCTACCCTGGGTGAAAAGTCAGCTGGTGCTCAGATTGGGGTGTGGGGGACCAGGCCCAGGGCAGCATCTCTTGGCTGCAGGCCTGTCTTGGGGTTGTGGTTTGAGTGTTCAAAGGTGAGAGGGGGCTCCGTGTCCTGGAACCCTGGGGTGGGGTGGCGTCCTCCAGAGACGTAAGCCCTGCATGAGGGAGCGCCAGATTGGGTGAAATAATGTGTGGGGTGGGGCCTGTGGGTCAGTGAGCCCCAGCCCCGTGCTGCTTGCAGGTGGGAGGGGGAAGCATCAGGTGAGCAAGTTGCCACAGCGCCCTCTGCCCGATGTCATATGTGGAGCGTGCTTTCTGTCACACCCGTGCACAGTCCAACCATCACCAGGGCCTGGGAAGGTGTGACACGCACAGTCCCCTGGAGCCGGGCCTGGAACCTCCTAGAGGAGGGAGCTGTGTGTGCCAGAGTCTTCTTCGATGATACCAGGTTTGATTGAAATCTGCCAGCATCCTGCATCCTGCTGAGATCTGGAGGTCCAAGTTGGCCCGGACTCTGCTGTCCTCAGTGCCAGGAGCTGCTGCGTCTGGGCTGCCACTTCTTCTAGACCTCTGCGCCTTCCCCATGCAGCTATGGGCGCACCTGCACGTGGGCACTGCTGGGGCCACAGCTCAGAAAAGATTGTCCCTGAAGCCCTGAGCAGGGGGACTGGAAGCTCCTGCATGGATTCCAGAGCCGGGCACGTGCAGCTCCTGCAGCCTGAAGCCTGATGGCCAGCTCAAGTGGGTGTGTCGTATACACCTGAGGACGGAGGTGGGGAGGAGGCCAAAGGAAGTGGGATCGCACTTCCTCTGTTCCTCCTTTGAGGTGCGCACTCAAGCACCCTTCAGTGTGTCCTATCTTTGGGTCTTCCTCCACGGTTACAGGGCCGGGTTCTTCCTCTGGTCCTGGCACTGAGACCCCTTGTCCTGGGCACATCCGGGGCCCTGCAGCTGGATGCTGAAGTTGTCTTCATGGAGTGGGAGCTCCTCAAGAGAGGGAACTTAAGGGAGGACAGGGTGTGGAGGAGGCTGGGGTGGGGTTGGACGGGCCTGTGATGCTGGGGATTTCTCAGCACGCAGGGCTTTTCGGCTTCCTGCACGGGTATCCGCTTAATCCCCGGCCGGTGTTAGGGGAGGCACGGCTTCCCAGCAGCCTGGCACAGGAAGTGAGTCTTCAGGAAGGTGGGATGGGCAGAGGAACCCACTGTCCTGGGGGCCCACACTGCTTCGCGTGGACCTAGTTTGACCTTCCTCTCAGTGAGCAGATTAATGCTGCAGGCGTCCCGTGAAGACAGGAGGGAGCACTGGGGCAAGATGCAGGCTCGGGTCAGCTGCTGTCTGAGGACAGAGGGCAGGGGTCTGGGGCTCGTGGCCAAGTGATCACAGTCACTGCCTGCTGCAGTCCCTCCCGGGCTGTGAGCTACAGCTGGCATGTGGCCCCCGGACTTTGCTCAGAGGCTGTCTGCACGGATGTGTCCCTCAGTGGTCCGTGAGGCTTGGGGCTGGACTGGAATCCTTGCCTGGGATTCCTCGTAAACTCACTTAGAAGATGTCTCTAGTTCAGGGCTGCACTTTGCCATAATTTCAGGTGGGGAAAGAGCAGCCTGGGAGGATCTTATAGCCATCCATCCGCCTGTCCACCCATCCGCTCTCCCATTCCCATAAATCCAACCACTGTCAAACACACTTGTCTACTCGAACCTCCACCCTCCATCCATGAATCCACCACCCAATAACCATCCATATCCCCTTCATCCACCCACCCACCTTTGCCATTCCAGGGACTGGCACCCTGCTAGGCAGGGATGAACCTGGGCCAAGAGCAACCTGGTCTTCCCACATGAGGTGGGGTTTGCCTTGTGTGCTGGGGGCCGTTAGCATGTGGGTGTGGGGGAGGGCAGGGAGCTTGGGCACAGCTGGAGGTGGAGCAGCTATGGAGGGCTGAGGGAGGGTGTGGTGTAAGGGACCGGGGGCTGGTGCAGCCTCCCACCCCATCTTAGGGGTCCCCACCCCTGCAGTCCAGCTCTGGAGCCCCGGAGGCACCTCCCTCCCGCTCTTTCCACCCTGGCTATGTGGCCTGTTTTCCTTTGGCTGTGGCAAAAGGTAATGGGATTTGCAGTTCCATTCTCTAAGGCCCTGAGGCCCCAGAGAGTGGTGGCAGAATAAGACTTTATGGGTGGCGGTGTACTTCTGACTTTAACTCCCGGGCAGGTGAAGATGACAGGAAGGGCCAAAGCAAGGCACTGAGAGAGACGCAGAGAAGTGAAATAAGGAAAGCACGTGTACACGGTCACTTAAAACTTGAAATTACTAACGTGCCTTTCTTTTGTGGACCCCAGCTCCGTGTGTATTAGGAAAGGCTCATGGGAAATGGGCTGGCACTCCCTCACAGGGCACTAGAAGCTAATTTTGTTTCATTTTGAGACAGGGTTTTGTTGTGTAGTGCAGGCTGGCCTTGAACTCACTGTGTAGCCCAGGCTGGCCTCAAACTCAGCAATCCTCCTGCCTCAGCCTCCTGATTGCTGGGACTTACCACACCTGGCCTAAAAATAAATTTAAGTGAAAACAAGAAAATTTGGAAAGTGCAGGACTGGCCGGTGTGGGGGCTGAGGATGGTGCTGGTGACCTGAGCCAGGGTGGTAAGTGTGGGATGGGAACAGTCCCACGGGGGAGCCCACGCTGGCCAGGAGGGTCAGGCCAGCCACCGAGCACCGCCTCTGGTCACTTGCTTGTGTTCTAGTCCCTTTGGCAGTTGGGGTCACGGAAGAAACTGAACCCAGCCCCTCAGCGCTGTGCCCCATCAGCCCCACGGGGAAATCCGGGTCAGTGTGGGCTCCGCTGTACAGTGGGCTGACCTGGGTCCCTCTGGGGTTTCCTGGCTGAGAATGCAGCTGAGTCAGCAAGGGCCTCCTGCAGGTGGCCAGGGTATCGTGGTGACCCAAGGACATCTCTACTGGGTGCCGCTGCCCTGGTTACAGGAGAGGCAGGAGGAGAGGGGTGGAGCCTGATGGGCAGAGGCCACCCAGGGGACCACACTGCTGCCTTGGACACGGGCTGCCAACACAAAGCACAGGGTGGGGACGTGGACCGAGGGCAGCCCCAGACCTAGACCCATGGTCCCTCAGGTCTGCCACAGTGCCCGGTGGGACCAGGCCTTTCGGTTCAGCCTCATTGAGAGGCTGCTGGGCACGTGGCTACTATCCCTGCTGAATCACCGTTCGAGCAAATGTCAGCCTGACCCCGGGTGGGCAAGCGGGAGGAAGGGTGAGGAGGAAGTCCCAGCAGACTCCCCAGATCCCAGATCCCAGATCCCGGATCCAGGGGAGCAGGCTTCCTAGGAACTTGCCGCCTGGGGTTGCTGTGTGTTTGGTTTAATTAAAAAGGACTTTCATGTCCTCACTGCTTTTGAATGAGGCTTTCAATCTGTGCACACACCTCCCTCCTGGCGTTTGGCTTCTGGAGTGGCACAGCCTGAGTTGGGCTCTGCGGAGACAGGAAGCTGACCCCGGGACCTCCTGCTGTCTGCAGAGGCTGCCGGGCGAGCCTTTCCTTCCCTCCACCCTTTAGGTTGTTCGGCTGTGTTTGGGTTGACATAAGGAAGGTGCAAAGCAATTTCCATTTCGGGTGTGTGTGAGAGTCCCACAAAAACAGGAGACTGTAAAATAGAAACTCACCCAGATCACCCTGTTTGCTAAAGGTGGGGCGCAGGGATCCTGGGGTGCATGGAGCACATTCCTTTGGGAAGAGGAGGGAGGGATGTCTGGTTGTTGCTTGGCCTGGGCAGGCGAGGGGCAGACCTCACCCTGAGCTGCTTCCTTCCCCAAGCAGGTCCCTTGCTGAAGTTCGTGCTCTGTCCAAGTGTGCGCTCCTGCGCAGAAAGCGGGTGTCAACCTTATTTGGGGTGGTTAGAGGGAGGTAGATCCATGCTGGCAGGTGTCACGGTGCTGGGTGCTCCCCAGCGTTCCCTCCTGCGTCCTCTGCTGGGTGACTGGCACTGCCACCTTCACATCCAGCGTCTCACTTCAAGGTGTCCACGTCCCACTTTCAGGACCCTCTTGGGAGGGCTGGCACCTGGAGGAGGGGCAGCGTGGTGACATAGGACGAAGCTTCTGCCACCCCAGGCTCGGATCCCTTGTCTCTTTGGATGTCCCTGGGACCCATGGGGACGCTGGGTGCTGCACTGCATCCACGTGGACCCCGGGCTGTGTCCACTTTCACCAGCGTGGCCTGGCCGTGTGGTCTGCAAGATCAGAGAGGTTTAGGGATTCACTGAGGCCTCCAAGCCAGAAAGTGGCACCCCCTGGGGGTTCAGACCAAGCTCACGAGGTGACGAGTCCATGTCTATGTGCCAGGATGCCTCCACCAGGCCTGAGGAGCTGGCCGATGTCCAGTGCCCTTCCAGAGAACCCAGCAGGCCCCTCTGGCCCCTGTGGACACCTTGTCATCACTGTCCCCTTCTCTCCCCAGGCCTTTTCCCTCCGAGGAGACGGCGGAGAATGATGACGACGTCTACCGCAGCCTGGAGGAGCTGGCTGAGTAAGGGGCGGGGGGGCTGGGGCTGGGGCTGGGGAGGTGCCTGGGGTTCCCCAGTCAGGAAAACACAGCACCACATTCAAGGCAGGGCCGGTCCTTGGGATTTGGGGAGTCCCACGTGGGGTCTTGGCCCCAGGTGGGAGCCTGGGCTTCTGAGTGGCCTAGGGGAGCCGGAGCCCCTGTCTCAGCGCCGACCTGCTGGGAGTTGGCCTGGGTGCTGACCTGGGCACAGCTTTCCCCCGGGCTCGGGCCTGGAGGGTGAGGGGGAGGCGAATTCTCCCTCCTTGCCTTCTTTCTGCTCTCTGGGAGGATTTCTTTGCTCTACCACACCCAGCCCACACCTGGCCATTTGCCCATGGGGACGGATGGAGCCTCTGGCTTGGCCCAGAGAGGTGACTCTGACCAGAGTGGATTATGTGGCCCCCACCAGGAAAGGGACGTGGCTGCCTGCCGGAGTGGGGACTGGGCTGGGGCAGGCGGCGCCACGTTCTGCAGAGCAGGGACCGAGGCTGAGAAGTGCCGGGTGGTCCCCGGTGGCCCTAGTCCCCGTGCCCAGTGCCCTGCTGGGGACTCCTCGCTGCTTCCTCCCCCTGTGCCTGCACGCACGCAGGCCTGAAGTGGCACCATGTGAGCTGCCCGGTATTTCCTGAGCACTCGTAGGGTTTGAGGCCCGGGCAGGGACTCTGGATATGGCCGGGCGAACGGTGTGTGCAGGACCCCTGGCCACAGAAACACTAAGCCAGCCACGGTTCAGTGCATCTCCACCAGCTCCGGCACCTGAGGGATCCTCAGCCCCAGCCTGTCTTTGGGAGCTAGGCTTCTAGGCCTAGGGTGCACCCGGAGGTAGGGGGTTGCCTGGGGCCCCCCACGCATCTGTGGTGAGAGGGTTAGTGTGCCCACCGGGAATCTGGGCCCTTGAGGCTGGCATCCAGGGATTGGGGTCCCTGCCCAGCTGCCATTGTGACCACAGCCAGTCTCAGGCATCAGGGAGCACCCTAGGTGTTTCTAGAAAGGGTGCACCCCAACACACAGGGTCTCCTGGAATGTAGGCTCGGAGAAGGCGGGGACGCAGGGAGGTCTGGGGACCCAGGCTGGTGGCTTGGAGCAGGGACTGCACCTCTGCCAGCTGTGTTGCTTTCAGAAGTCAGGCTCAGTGCCCGCTTCCCTCCTTTCCATCCTTATCCACCATCCCTCTACGGCCAGGCTCGGGGATCCTCACGCACCCCACCCTGGCTGACACCACCACCAGCCCACCAAGCTCTGCACCCTTGTGAGCCCCTGCCGTGTGGGGATCACCCTGCAGAGGCGGTCAGTGTCCTGCTCCTGCGTTCCTGTGAGCACAGCCCCTGGCAGCGCCCATAGTGCGATAGGACCGCAGCCGTGGGGGGCGGCGCTTGCAAGCTTTCAGGGGCCACGCTGTGCTGGGGATCCCTCCCCTCGAGTTCACCGTCCCTCCCGTCTGTCCCGTTACCTGCCTTTCACAGACAAACAGGCCAGGGACAGGGGATGCCTTGGCCGAGGTCACAGAGCTAATAAGCGGCAGAGCACCATTTGACCCATCTGTGCCCAGTTCTCCAGCTGGCACGCAGTGCCCCCCAGAGCCCTTAACTTGCTGTTTCTGCTCAGGGTCCGAGCTGAGGTGGGGCTGTGCTTCCCAGAGACAGTGGCATAGTCTGTGGGCCCCAGGACGGGGGCACCGTGGGCAGGCGCCCCGTGGGAAGTATGGTCTCAGTGGGAATCTCTGGGTGCCAACCGACAGGCTCCTCAGACCGCCACCAGTGTGACCAGGCCCGCGTCAAGTGCGGTGGGACCCGTTTAGACCCACGTGTCCTGTGCAGCGGGTCAGGTCAGGCCTTGAGCCCAGCGCCTGTATCTCCCCTTTCTCTGCCCTGCCTGGTGGTGACAGTTCTGATTCAAAACAAGATGGAATGGTCCACGCAGGAAGCGCTGGCCTCTCCCAGTGGCGTTACTCTGTGACGTGAAAAGTCAGCTGCAGCCAGGTGTGTGGCACTTGTTGATAATCCTCTCTCAGAGGCTGAAACAGGAGGATTTTAAGTTCAAGCCCAGCCTGGGCAACTTAGTGCCTTAGCAACACTCGGCTTAAATAAAAAATAAAGGGGAGGGAGAGCTGGGGATGTAGCTCAGTGATAGCAAGTACCCCAGGTTCAGTCCCTAGCACCAGCTCTCCAGGAGAGGAAAATCCAAGAGCCTCCTGAGTCCAACGTTCCTTATGGCAGCAGTTATCGCGGACGAAGATTGTAAATTAGAGGGACGGGGAATGCATTTGGATCTTTAACTTGCAGCTTGGTCCCAGTGGCTCAAGTTTAATAAATTTTTCATGCTTTTCCTCCTCTCCTTTCATGGAAGAACAAGGTTTCCTAGCATCCGGTCCCTGTGGACTCGGCATTGATATTTAGCCGTTACACAAACAGCCCTGACGCGGCTTATCTGGATGCTACGCGGGGAGGGAATGCGGCTGTGAATGTGCCAGACAGCAGCTGAGGAGGTGGCCCGGGTGATGGTCGCCTAGCACATCTGCTGGACCCTCCCAGCTAGCGGGGCACGAGCTCCACAACCGTCCCGATGCCAGGCGAGGCTCCCAGGGCTGCGTGTCCCCCAGGGAGGGCCCTGGCCGGGGGCCGTCGTGTGGGAGCACCGTCGTTCATTTGATCATTAATTCATTGTCACCCGGTGTTGCTGAACACTGTGTGTGTCGGGCCTGGGGATGATTAGTAGGGGACAGCTCAGCCTCCGGGGGCCCCAGGCTCCTTCAGGACGGCGGGGTGAGGGTGAGCAGACGTGCCCATCGCCCCCAGAGACAGGTGCGTCCCCACGCAGGACTGCTCCTGCGCCCGTCGTCTCCTACGCTCATGGTCTTGGAAAGCTGCTGCTTCGCTGTGCCTCAGTTCCCTCCCGTGGGTCGTGTGAAGCCGGCACCCTCCCCGTGGGACTGTGGGGAGACGGATGGCAGCGTTGGGGTGGTGGCATGGGGAACCTGCCCGTCCTCTCCCGTCTGTGGTGGTGGTGGTGGTGGTGGACATGCGGTGCCGCAGAAATCAAAGGCAGCTACATGTGTGCCTGGGGCTTTCTAGCCGGCAGTGCGGAAAAGTAAAAAGAACCAGGAGAAATCAGTTGTAAGAACGGATTTTATTTGACCTGATGGACCCAAAACGCTGCCCTGCGGTTCATCGGCGGGGAAGCCGCATTCTTTTAAAGCTGTGCTCTGTAATATCCTTTTCATGTTGCCCTGGGCTCCCCCACCCTGCGGGCACTGAAGTTCTGCATGGCTGCTCTCTGCTCACTGTGCTGGAGCCGGCAGTTGGGTCTCGGGTGCAGAATGTCCTTCTGGGGAGAGCGAGCCCACGTCGGAGCCGTAACCCTGCACTCAGTATCGTCCCAGGCGCGCCCAGCGCTCACTTTATTTTTGCTGGGTCAGGGCCTGCAGGCTGAGATGAGCTGTGCACAGGGGCTTGCATGCACGCACTCGTGGGCCAGTCACACAGGAGCAGAGAGGGCCAGTGTCCACACAGGCGGCTTGGGAGGCTGCTCAGGAGAGCGACAGCTGAAACCGACAGCGTGCGGGACAGCAGGGACCACGTCACGGCGGCAGCAGTCACGGGAGGCAGGGCGGGGCCTGGTGACCCATCGGTCCCTGTCTGCTGAGGGGTCCATGTGGCCCTCAGTGCCAGTGGACTCTGGTCCACTGTGGGGAGACAGTGACTGGACACATCCAGGCTCTGTCTACGGTGGCCTGGCTTGGCTTGCACTGGATGCCCCTGACTGAGACATTTTTCTGGAGCACACAGGTGCCGGGAGCTCCCTGGGCCACGGCTCCGAGCAGTGGCCACCGTATGGACTTGAGGTCCGCTGCTTCTCAGCCTTCCTGCGGCCGGGACACTGGGATCCCCAGAGGTGCTTGGCTTTGCCTCATTGCCTGCCTCTTGCCTGCGCACCCGGGTGACATGGTGGGGCCATTCCTGGTCCCAGGCAGAGCAGGCAGAGCTGGCCGCATGCTTGGTCTCAGGCAGTCTCTGTGTCGCTCTGGGCCCAGTCCTCTGAGAGCCTCAGTTTCCCCATCTGTGCACTGGGTGCGCCCGTGCAGATGGCCCACAGGTCCCCTGAGGTTGCAGAGCCTGGGTGGTCACATGGGTGCCTGCCTCACTGGCATGCTGCCCTCACGGTCCTCAGGGCCTAAGTGGTTTTCAGGCTTAAACAGATGTGACCGTGACACTCCGAGGACTACAGTTCACCCGCAACTTCTGCAGAGAGCCTGGTGTCCCATGGCATCGCTGCAGCCATTTCTTTAAGGCGCTTGGGTGGGAGAGGCGTTTAGTGCAGGAGGTGTCCCCTGCGGGGAGGCTGGGCACCTGTTCTACAGGGGGCTGGGGTGGAGAGCGAGTCCTTGTCCCCTGCCTGTGACCTGCACCCCCACCCCTGGCAGCCTGGGTCTTGGCTCTGCCACTGCACCGAGAGCAGGTTTGTTCTCAGCTGCCTCCCGAGTTCTCAGCTGCCTCGGTTTCCCTTGGGCGGCCCCAACCTGTGGGACAAGGAGAGAAAGGCCATGTTTGGAGACTTGGGGACGCCTCATGTCCACCCAAGGAGCTGCTTCTTCCAGTGGTGACAAGTCTGAAAGAGATTCTCCGAAAACACCCCTGAGAGAAAGGTACCCAGACATGCCCCTGCCCTGTTAGACAGCACCCTCCCTGTGCCCTGGGAAGACACAGCTGTCCCCTCGAGGCCTGACCCCAGGTTGGCCAGGAGGAGGAAGGCCTGGCGGGGCCTGGCGTTGGGCTGGCTCTGCAAGGGTCTCTTGCCTCATGATCTCTCTGCCCAAGGACCCTGACCCTGGGTCCCTTCGTGGAGGAGACGGTGGGACAGCAAGGCCTTGGCCCTCCCCTGGTCCTTGCTTGGTTAGGACACCTGTGGCTAGACCTCGAGGTGCAGCCGCCTCCCTTCCGACCCCAGTCCTCGCCCGTGTGGCAGACACTCAGGGACCGTGTGCG